CTAGATTAGCCAATAAAATTCATGTTTCATTTATAAACAAGAAGTTTCTTGGCTCATATAATTTTAAGGTTAAACCTATGCCAAACGATCCTTGCTTGCTACCTTAACTCGTAGCTTACTTATAATAATTACCTCTGTTAAGAACGTACAAATAATCTTAATTGTGTTGACTATGGCCAGGAAAACACATATTAAATTTGTTAAAAGATACCAAGAATCACTGGCTCGCTGGACGACCTTGATTTGAAGTAAAACTAACAAATTTGGAATGGTTTGATCAGGTGGACTTGGGACATTCAGACCCGAGTTCTAGCAAAACCTGAATAAATTAATAATCATTAATTCCCTATAATTACAAATTAATAATGAATAAATAAAGGATAATGTCATTACAACGGATGAACCCTATTTCTCACAAATCCCCTTTTTCTTCTCAGAGCATGAGTGATCATTCCAGCTGTTCAGCGGTGACCATCCCGTCTCCTCTCTTTTATAATTCAGTTCAATACAGTCCTCTTTTCCACCGTAGCTGTTTGGCTCACCTTTGAGCCAAAACCTGAACAACATGTATCAGAGGTTCAGTTTTTCAGAAACACAAATTTATGAATCAACAATACTCAGAATAATTGCACGTTTCGAGAGTAAACTACAGACGCTGGAGCAGAAGTGAAAAGTAAAAGAGAGAAGAAGCACTTTATAAAATGGTGTACATTAAAGATAAAAAAAAGAAAAAACAACATAAAAACATATGTGAACTGGCCTCGCTTAGTTGCTTCTTTTTTAAGTTCCTCACTCAGAGAAGCGACTCTATTCTCCAGTTCCTGTTTCTTCTGACTCAAAGAGTTAAAATCTCTCTGTAACTGGTCTTTCTCAGCAGTGAGATCTTTGACTCTGGTCTCCAGCTCCAGTTTCTTGACTCAAAGAGCTGAAGATGTTCTGCAGTTGGTGTTTTTCAGTCATTAGATCAGTGTAGTTGTCCTGTAAGCTGTTGATGGTTTGATTGAACTCTTCAGCTGTGTTCTTGTAACTCTTTATCAGGTCTCTCTCTGCTGTGATGGTGATGTGCTGCAGTATGATGAAGACCAGCAGAAGAACACAAATGAGCCCGAGACCCACTGTGATCCACACCAAACATCTACTTCCTCCTGACAAACACCACCAAAACACACACATATCAGTTAATACTCTTCATGTTATTAGAAATTAAGTTTCAAATCAACCTCTGTAGGTAATTTACTATTGCTTTTGGTTATAGACATGCTTTTTATGTTTTATGAGTGTTTTTATAAGTCATCTAGAATTGTTATTATAAAATATGCAAACAAGAAAATTTTGAAAAAGTAAACGGAAAGATAAATCCATGATAATACACTTCATTTACAAACAGAAACATTGACATTTCATTCGTATAAATATTTGAAATTGTACGTGACGGTTCTCATTTCTTCATAGTGACACTTAACACCATCTGCGAAACCATTTCTGATTTAAAGTAATTTTCTTCTTACTGCGCTTAAGATCTTTTCCTTCATCCTGACCGTGACTCTGAGTTTGAGGTCCAGTTGTGTTCTTAATATCTCTGCTGTCAACATTTTCATAAATAGCCTCTAAATCCATTATCCACCGTGTCGGTCAGTACGTCTGCACAGATGAGGTATTGTCCTTGAAATGTTCATTAGCATTTTCAAAAGTGTTAAGTTTATACAGGAAGTGGTTTCATTTCGCACTGGTCTTCGACAAGAATAAAGTCTTACAGCCACGCTTAAACTATCGGTAGAGTCGGCAGCAAAATCCCCAGTTAAATCAACTCTGCTCAGAGTACATATTGTCCCAATCTACAGAGTGTTAAAGTAACACTGAAGCAGAGTTACCACTGTTGAGGATTATGTGATATGTTTTCATGTCTAAAAGCCTAAGCTATAATTGTCTGTGACCCAATCAGATTAAGCCATCTTGAACAGTGTTGCCAACTGCTTTCAATTGAAAGTAGCTAAAACTGGTAGCTAAGTAGCTAAATATGACATCACAACGGCAAATGCACTGATCTATATAAAGATGAACGTAGATCAGTGGGCAAGATGAGAACTTAGATAAGGGTTGTCCAAGCAGTTGCTATATTTGTCCCTAAACTTTCGAAAAAAGTCTCAAAAGGGGCGGGGAAGTCACTAAACCTAGCTACAAAGTAGCTAAACTGGCAACACTGATCTTGAAGGACAGTTCAATTCTCTAAGTGACCCATGAGGAGGTGAGGAATAAGTAATCAACAAACAAACACAAAACAAGGAAGCAGTCCAGGGTCAGAAAAACAAGGCGAACACGGGAACATTACAGGCTTAACAATCATCAGCAGTGTGTGTGTGTGTGCCATTCTTATAGTGTGTGACTGATGAGGTGATGAGAGACAGCTGACTACAACTGTTGAGTGCTGATGAGTCCGGGCAAAGGATTATGGGAAATGGAGTCCTGGGTGAATAGTAAAAGTCATGAATAGAGTGCCCTCTGGTGGAGATCATGGGCATTCCAGTAGGAAATTGTGACAGTGATTGAAGGATGTGAAGCAGGGCCGGACTGGGACACCAGTGTTGATAATGACCAGATCAGCACCACGATCCCTGCAGTACTGTCTGCTGTCAGACCAGCTCTTCAACTCAGTGGACCTGAAAAACCAACTTGAGCCACCCAGAAACATGCACTTTAATAAAATGGTGTACAATCAAGATAAAAAAAAGAAAAGACAACATAAAAACATATGTGAACTGGCCTCGCTTAGTTGTTTCTTTTTTAAGTTCTTCACTCAGAGCAGCTACTCTATTCTCCAGTTCCTGTTTCTTCTGACACAAAGAGTTGAAGTTGTTCTGCAGTTGGTGTTTTTCAGTCATTAGATCAGTGTAACTCCTGTAAGCTGTTGATGGTTTGATTGAACTCTTCAGCTGTGTTCTTGTAACTCTTTATCAGGTCTCTCTCTGCTGTGATGGTGATGTGCTGCAGTATGATGAAGATCAACAGAAGAACACAAATGAGCCCAAGACCCACACCAAACATCTACAAACCCGATTCCAAAAAAGTTGGGACACTGTACACATTGTGAATAAAAACAGAATGCAATGATGTGGAAGTTTCAAATTTCAATATTTTATTCAGAATACAACATAGATGACATATCAAATGTTTAAACTGAGAAAGTGTAATTAAGGGAAGAATAAGTTGCTTTTAAATTTCATGGCATCAACACATCTCAAAAAAGTTGGGACAAGGCCATGTTTACCACTGTGTGGCATCCCCTCTTCTTTTTATAACAGTCTGCAAACGTCTGGGGACTGAGGAGACAAGTTGCTCAAGTTTAGGAATAGGAATGTTGTCCCATTCTTGTCTAATACAGGCTTCTAGCTGCTCAACTGTCTTAGGTCTTTGTCGCATCTTCCTCTTTATGATCCACCAAATGTTTTCTATGGGTGAAAGATATGGACTGCAGGCTGGCCATTTCAGTACCCGGATCCTTCTACGCAGCCATGATGTTGTAATTGATGCAGTATGTGGTCTGGCATTGTCATGCTGGAAAATGCAAGGTCTTCCCTGAAAGAGACGACGTCTGGATGGGAGCAAATGTTGTTCTAGAACTTGGATATACCTTTCAGCATTGATGGTGCCTTTCCAGATGTGTAAGCTGCCCATGCCACACGCACTCATGCAACCCCATACCATCAGAGATGCAGGCTTCTGAACTGAGCGCTAATAACAACTTGGGTTGTCCTTGTCCTCTTTAGTCCGGATGACATGGCATCCCAGTTTTCCAAAAAGAACTTCAAATTTTGATTCGCCCATGTTGTGATTTCCATTACAGTAGCATTCCT